GGGCGACCCCATCCCCGAGGACGCATTGACCTCTCCCACGTTCGACAGGGTCAAGTGGTTCTCGGGCCATGGCGTCGAGACCTGGCAGGTGCCCGTGGACAAGGTTGTCGCGGCGCTGAAGGAGACCGGCGTGGCGCGTTTCGCCACCACGGGCTACTGCTTCGGCGCGCCACCCGCGTTCTACCTCGCCCGCAGCAACACTAGTCACGTCACCGTCGTGTCGCACCCGTCTCTCTTGCAGATCCCCGCCGACTTGGAGGTGCGTATATGCTGTCTCTTCTCGCTGCTGGTGGCCCTAACGCCAGCAATAGAAATACCGCGATACATCCAAGGCGCCCCTCTTGATCAACAGCTGCGAGGTGGACACTCAGTTTCCGAAGGAATCGCAGGTCGTCGCTGACGAGCTACTCGGAAATGGCAAGTTCGCACCCGGGTACGAGAGGACGTACTGGGATGGCTGCACGCACGGCTTCGCTGTACGTGGGGATCTGGTGCGTCACACGTTGCTGTTGTTGCATTGAACATATGCCGACTCCTGCCCACAGAGCAACCCGAAAGTGAAGGCTGGTAAGGAGGGCGCGTTCAAGGCGACGGTCGATTTCGTAAAGAAGTATCTGTGAAGGTCAATATGTATTTTGCGGTGTAACAACAAAATGTCAGGAGTGTAACGATCACATCGTCTGCGTTTGTACATCCCACCGAGAGGATGAGCGATGTCAGACCCTCTACTATCCACCAGTAGGGTCCCTGCTCTGCATTGGTTCTCGTTATCAATCGTCGTTCCAGTCTGCAGATCCTACCATATTAAGAAGGGACGGAGTCATGAACGGTACATACGGACCCTCCAAATTCATAGTGGATGTGGATGCCAGTGCTGGAGCTGCATACGGACGAGGATGTACGAGACGAGAAAACTTATGTAATCGGAGCCAGAGAGTGTCCCGATAGTCAAGGAGTAGTCGGATAAATTAATGAGGGCTCTGAAAGCATCGTGAGCAGTCGCCTGTCAAAAGTCTTGGTCAATGGCTCATTTCAGCGGATGGAATTAGCCTACGAGTTGATCGCGACATAACTTGAGCTTCAAGTCGTGCATGACGACATTTTCTTCTTGCCGTTGCAAGCCTCCACCGCATGGTCCGGTGAAGAAGATCTCGCGGTTTGCGGAACCCTTGGGAGTATGTCCAAGGAGGTCAAGTTCTGCCAAACTGACTAGATCGAGGTCGCGCGATGACACGGAGTCATGTGATCGTGATTCGTGAACGATGCACATGGCGGCCGTAGGCACGATGAAAGTCATTCTTGCTGAGCACTGAGTGCCCGCAGGTGTCGCCCGAAAGCGTTCGTCATCTCGGCGTGCTTACGTGTGTACAATGGTCAGCAGAGTTCGTATCCTCACAGCCCGCAGGTCGACGTTGCTTCTGATCAGATAATATTCAGATTGAAACGATGCATGTGCATGAGCGTTCCAGCCACCGAGCTCGCATCTGCTCGCATTTCCCGAGCGTTTAGCAGTTGTTTCTGCCTATCATGAGCCTCTGCGACGATTGCTTCAAAGGTATGTGGTGCAATTTCGAAATATCGGCTGATTGCATGATGATCGACAGGTGTCCGTCATGAGGGAGAGCCGACGGGTAAGTCGCGTCGCCATCGTACTTGCTATGCCCGACGTGCTCGACTCGAGCCCAAACTGACTTTATGATGCATTCCAGGCAAGATAGAGCAAATTGGCGGCGTCGAGTGCTATGTAGCGACCCCGGAAGGCAATTACTCGAAGGACAAAGTCCTGCTCTTTCTCATGGATGCCTTTGGCGTCTCGCTCGTTAACAACAAAGTACGCACGCTGGACATCAAACGTAACCATATCTTGACCTCGCCGAATATCCAGCTCCTCGCGGATGACTTTGCCCGCAACGGCATCAAGGTGGTCATGCCCGACATATCCTCGTGGGCGAC